ACGTAGTAGTAAAATCATAGCAAGTAGTAGTAGGCGTATTGCTAACATATAGTAACTCTAAAACTATAGCAACTATATAGTTGCTTTATTGCTATTTTAAAGTATTTCTAAAGTTGCTAATTTGGCAGTTTCTGCAATGAATATAAAGAAGAATTAAACAACCTTAAGCCAAGATCTTTTTAAAACTACTTGATATTTAGTTTTGCAATTTATATTAAAGAATTTTAAAAATATTAAATATATATTTAAAGTTTAAAGTTTTATTTGTATATAAATTTGTAAGTAAATTAAAAAAATGTTTTTTTTTATAAATTTTATATATAAATTTGAGTGAGTCAACTCATTTTATTTATATTTAACAAAAACCAAAAGGAAATGTCTCATGCCTGTTATTGTGAATTATATATAAAATATTAAATATGAATATGTTGGTTCTGAGTCTGATATTCTGATTCCCAAACCCCAACCATAGTAATATCATAATTCTATTAACATATCTTACATTATGTGTTTTTTGTTCATCAAGTTCTTTTAATGCTTCATATTGCTGCGTCAATATTTTTATTTCTTTTTTGAAGCCTTGGTTTTCTTCGATTACTTTGTTTTTTAGTTCATCAAGTTCTTTAAGTCTATCCTCTCTCTTCTTTAAATCTTGTTTTTTTGCTTCGAGCTGCTCTCTTACCTCGAGCCAGCTGTTATCCACTTGTGCAATCTCTTCTTGTCTGGTTAGTTTATTTCCACTACCATTGTAAATATAAATACAATTAATAAATACGTATATTTACCATATATTTTTTTAAACATTACAGTATTATTATGGGGCTTAGGTCAAAATCCCGACAAGCGAAATACCGATAGGTCATAATCCCGACAAAAAAATCCGACAGCCAAAAATCCGACAGTTAAAAATCCCGACAATTAAAATTCTGACAAAAATAAGCTAACCATAGCCTAACTCTTATCTAAAGTGACTAACCCTAAAGTTAATTAAATTATAAGAGGCTACTTCGCTTTAAGCATACCGGATTTTCTACTTGAAAATTCTGACTAACGGGCATGATTTTTTTGTCGAGATTATCTCGGGCAGTGTAGGTGACGCTATTAATAATTGTATTATCAATAAATTGATTTAGAATACTGCAAGAGATCTGTGGAATCGATAACATTAATAACAATTTTAGGGTACGTCTAAAGCGTGTGTGGTCATATGATTTTGACTTTTCAATTAAAGTTCTGAAGTTAGGGTAAGGGTTAGTATTAGTGATGTGCCATTTATATGTTACACAAATTTTTTAGCGTACAGTACATATATAAATATTTTTTTAAGCGGTCCTGCAATATATAAAAAATTAAGATTATATAATAAAGTTAATCTATATTTTTAGTTTTTTAATATTAGTCTATATTATAATTAATATAATATTAGAAATCTATAACTTATTTGTATAAAAATATGGGTATAATTATGTCAGAACAAAATATATATATTTGCATAATTAGCAATATAATAATTAATTGGTAGTCTGCAGTTAAAGAGAACAAATTTTATAGTAAAAACTGGCAGAAATTTACTAGTTACTTTATATAGTAAGTGGAATGCTATGAACTCTGTTTCTTAAGAAAAAACCCTATAGTAAATGCTCTACAACTTTTATTATAAGCTAAAAAAGTGTTACTTAATAAAAAAAATACTTTTATATGTAAGTAAGCCCTATTTCTATATTATAAAAAAATATGAATTTTTGACTTTGTTTATTATAAAATTTATCATTTTTTCTATCCTTCAAAATAAGGTTGCTTGCTATAAGTAATTTTATTACAGCATTATGAATTACAACCTGGGTTGCAACCTTTGGTTACAGCTAAGACCCAAAGTTGTAAATATCTTATATTGCTATAAAAGGTTGAAAGAGTTGTAATAGTCATTATAGTTGTAATTATTATAAAGGTTGCAATTGCCGTAATAGATGTAAGAATCATAATAAGACTTATTTTGTATCTAAACTGAGTAAATTGTAAGTATAAAAATATCAATTCCTTTATATAGGAAACAATACTTAAGAAACCAAATAAGCTGCTTGAAAATAATAAATTTACCTTATTGTCAACAATATTTAAATTTTAATTGATGTATAAGTACTATAATGATGTAAAAACAAAGTTGTTTACCACTCTGCATTATATATATTTGGGGTGGTGCTCATTTCACCAACAATCACTTCACTGACAACTTAGTTCACCGACAATTAATTCACCGACAAGTTCATTTC